GGGCTTAGGGTTTAGGGGTATATAGGGCTTAGGGTCTAGGATTTAGGGATCAGGGTTTAGGGTTTAGGACTCAGGATTCAGGGCTTAGGCTTTAAGGATAATATCCCAATAATGGAGACTCAAATGGAAAAATGAACAATGAAATTGAAACTAAGGTTATGTAGTATAATGTAGGGGTTTGGGTTTCTTTCAAACTAGGGGGTTATAGGGATTATCGTATATCAGAGTCTACATTGAGGGCCCCTCACTTAGGGAAACTGCCATACTGCCGGGGCTTAAAAGGTTCTAGGGCTTAATATTTTGGGTAAAAAGTGAAGGGTTGGGATAGTGAGAAATAAAGTGACAAAGAAAATGGACAATAAGTTGGCAACTTGGTTTCTACAGGGGTTCATAGGAACTGTAGTGAAAGTTGTCCATATTACAGTCCTGGGCTCCTTGCTGAATCGTTGCAGGTTGCCTCAAATAGACCTCAACACCATGATGGAATTTCTTCAGCCTTCGACCTTGTGGCATAGGGATGAGGGTTTGGGGTCTAAGGCTCAAGAAAGAGTAGTGTTGAGCGACTGAGGTTTAGGGTTTGGGGTTTAGGGTTTTGGTTCCTCAAGGCGTCCATGATATTGGCAACTACGGGGCTGTCGAGGCCAACTAGAGCTTGGGGTCAGTGGCTAAACCAAACCCTAGACCCTAAAGAGCCACAAGCAAAAGAAGTGCACTACAGGGCACATGGTCTCAGACCAAAATAGAAGGTAGACCTAAACCCAACCTAAACCCTAAACCTTGTCCTAAGCACGTTCATCCAGGAACGCTTTCCCCCAACCTTGCACAGAGGATCTGACTTTTTCCCGGGGCTACATGTCAAAAGCAATGGGTTTAGGGCTTAGGGTTCAGGGCTTTGTGTTTAGGGTTTAGGGCCTGGAGTTTAGGGATTAGGGTTTGGGTTTCGAATCCACTGCCCACTATTGCGTCAATGTTGACAACGTGTTTTTCAAAATGCCAGCAACTATGACTTGATCCCTGGACAGGAAAATTGGAGAGAGTCCAAGAACCTGTAACCTAAAACAGGGTTTAAGGTTAAGGATTTAGGGCATTATTGTGGTTATTGCAAACATGTCAAGTGTTCAGTTGTGGTACTTGTCACCGTTAGAATCGCCCTGACCTTTAAACACTCAACGCAAAAACCCTAAACCCTACCCTCAGGCCTACAAGGGGATATAGCGGTACTACAGGTATATTATTGGGATTCATAGGGTTTAGGGTCTCCCCAAAATACAGTACTTTGCTTGGGAGTCCTTACCTAAAGAAGGCTAAGGATTGTGGCGTTTTGGGTCGACATTGCATCCCCCTAGTTTAGAAAATTGCCGAATAATTATCACGCACACACAAACGCCAAACCCATTCTTTAATTGTGGACCTAAACCCTCAACCCTAAACCTGCAAGCCCAAACCCTAAACCCCTAAGCCCCAAACCGTGAACCCTAAATCTCCAACCCCTAAACTCTAAACCCTAAATCCCCAAGCCCTAAACCCTGAACCCCCAAGCCGCAGCCTGCATTTGGGTCCGCAGTATCACAGGGAACAGTTTCAAACTCCCTGAATCCACCAGGGTTTAGGGTTTAGGGCTGAACCCAAACTTAGGGAACTGCTGAGGTTGACGAAGCTCCAGTACCTGGATGCCGCGGAGAACCAACTGTGCTTCACCCAGAGGGGAACGCGGGAGTTTCTTTAAGCCGCGTATAGGCTTTAGGGGTTTTAGGGTTTAGGGGTTAAGGACAAACAGAAAAGTCCCACAGATGTAAGATCCCTAAAGGTACCACGTTTGGAAGAAATTCCTATGTAATGATATACCCCAAACCATAAACCGTATAGTCACTCCCCGGGGCTCTGAGAATATACCTCTGGGAGCCCCCTCATGTCTGCAAAGCATGATGTCTCAACGTGGCGATCCCTTTTTTGGTGATATGTGCCTTTGCGTGCTGGGGGCCATTCAGGCGTTCACAAGGATTGCAGAGGGCATTGGGATTGCCCAGCTTTATGGTAACGGGCTGCGGGGGGAAGGTCTCAAATCATGGATCCTTGGGTTGCATTTATGGGGGCCGCACAGGGATTGATCCTTGCAGGGTTTACGGCTTCCTGAGGTTCGCACAACTGGGGGTTCCCTCATCCTAAATTGTTCTTTCCTAGAGTTGAGGGTTTATTGCAATTTCAAGGCCCTCTTTGGGAGTACTTTAAAACGGACTAGAATAATTCGGGGTCTATATTGGGGCCCTTCCTTTATGGAAACCCCCAATTGATACCGAGGCTTTAAGTCTAGGGCCTAAATTCGTGCAGCACGGGTCCTGTTCCCCCAAATTGGGGGAAAAGTCTTGAGGCAACCGCCTCGGAGTATCCTCACACCCTGAACTTGACGGTGAAGGGGTGCGTGTCATGCCTTCCAGGATGGCTATGAGCACCAAATTTTAGGGTTCAGTAAGGTCTAAAGGGGGATATAGAGGTTATATAGGGTTTAGGGTTTAGGACCACCAATCCCTGTATGGTAGTTTCTCGAAATAGGGGGACCCCAATGTATACTCATTGCAAGGGGAACCCCGAAAAGGTACTTCTAATGTTGGCAAGCACCCGCGCAAACTCACCCTGCATACCTTGATCAATCCTGGCACTTGTGCGCATGGACTTCCCGTTAACTCCATGCGGGTGCTTAGTCAGGTACATCACTAAGGGTCACCGAAGTGTTAAATGGGGTAGACCCTCTAAGGTTCCATTGTATACTCCTCTTTGAAGCAATTCTTTTCAGGGCTCGGTCCTATTTTTGTGGTCTCTAGGAACCCACTCTAGTTAGTAGAGAACAGAGGAATGGATCCCTACCTGTACAACCCTTTGCTCTAATCCTCATACCCTGGACCCTCAACCCCTCAAATCCTTACCGTTCTTTAGGGGTATGTAGACTCTATCTGGACCCTCCAAATGTAATTCCCTGTTGTTGTTTGGTG